GGGCGGCGGCGGCCGCGCGCGGAAGGAACGGGGCTCCGGCGCTCTTCTGAGGCCTGCGGGGCTGGGGCGAGGAGGAGAGGCCTAGTGCGACCCGTGTAGGGCTTGGGCCTAGGAGTCGGGGAGGGTACGGTACGAGGGGCGGGAGAGCGAGCCGGGGTCACTTGCGGTGGAGTGGAGATCCAGGGGGAGGAGAGTGTTTTCCTTTTAAAAACAAAAGGCATCTTGTTCTTCCCCCACCCCCCTCCCCAAGTCCTTTCTTCTCCCCCAAACTGCTGTTGTGGACTGTAACCTGAGCAGGGCATGGTTTTAGACCCTGAATAACTGGGGTTGCCAGTAAGGCTTAATTTCTGCAGTTGCCAGCTGCTAGGCATGTTCAGAAAACATCAAATTCTTAAGCTGCTGACAATAATCTCGATTTCTGTAAGGTGGATACTGTATTCCTCTGCTGTGTCTACTGAAAAAAACAGTTCTCGGGGTGTGAATCTGGGGAATGCCGTATATTGTGATATTGGTCTCCTTAGGGCACAGAATTGAACTGTTTTATTACATTTCTGTGTATTTGTATCACTGTGAAGTGTAATCTGACAGTCCAAGGCAGCTGTCAGTGACAGTTCATGTAAATGTAAACATTTGCTGCTCAGAAGCTCATACTGCAAAATCAAGCAGGTCAAAGTGAGGCAGAACATGTAATTTTTGGTAAATACTTCAAAATGAATTGTCACGTTACATGTTTTGCACCCCCCCCCCCCCCCCCGAATTCTAGGGTTTTTTATTACTTCTGCTATGGGGTGTCTAGTAGTGAAAAAACCTTGCAGAAGTTCAAGGTAGTGGTGAAACTGAGTGGCCTTGACTACAGTATGGAGGACATATTCAAAGTTTACACTGAATCATTGTAACTTTCTGTTTATATTCTTAATACCAAGTAGAGACTTGTGCTTCTCCCAAAAGTGCTGAAGTACTGTGGCCCATTTACTGCTGAAAGTGTGTAGTCCATCAGTGAAAAGATAGAGAAATTAGGTTTTTCTTAACAGCAAGTGTTATGTTGGATGTAATAGTGGGAGAAAATGGTTTGAGTTCTAATTACAGAACTTGTTGCTTTAATGTAGGTAATTAAAATTAGAAAGACTAATGCTGATTGTTTAAATAGGAAATGAAAATTAATTAACTTTTTAAAGTGTTTTGGAAAGAGATCTAAAATTTAGAAATAACATTTTAACATCAGTTCTGTAACTTCGTATCTGATGTAAATGCCTATTTTCTTGTGATCTGTTACAGGCTCTTAAGTACTCATCCAAGAGTCACCCCGGTGGTGGTGATCACCGTCATGACAAGATGCGAGACACCACAGATCCTTCGCCACCAAATAAAATGTTGCGGCGCTCTGATAGCCCTGAAAACAAATACGGTGACAACACAGGGCACAGTAAAGCAAAAAGTGTGCATACTCACAGAGTTAGAGAGAGGGATGGTGGTGAGTTATCTTTAATTAACCTTTATTTAAGCAATTACAAATTTCTCATAAATATTAAAATTTAGCCATTATCACTCAGGTGATGAGAGTGTTACACTAAATGTGCCTTGTACCATGCTTGGAAGACTGCAGTGAAACCAAAGTGCAAGTTTCATTGGAAGTAATCACTTAGGCATTGTAATACCTATTAATTTTCTTATTTTTACAGGTATGGTAGTTTTTCTTATAACCACAAAGATTAAATAAATGTCTCTCTTTTAAACTGGTATGTCTCACTTCAGACATACTACAACATTTGGTAACATGAAAAAGTATTCTGGATTTTTCACGAACAATAAATATTAGCTGTTTTGGAGACTGGCTTTTTTAAATAACTTTGTGTATTGTGGTGCTATACGGTGTAGTTACATGCTTCATAGACTAAACCTCAAAAGAAATGAAAAAAAGCTTCATGTTTAGCTGCTGTGTAGAACTCTTAGAATCAGAAAATGATAATCAAAGGTAGCAAAGGTACCAGAGCCTTTCTTGGCAGGAGCTTAGAGAAGAATGTTCACAGTCAAGTCAGCCTCCTGTGTTTTTACAGGACATTATAAACAGTAGTAATATCCCCAATGTTTTTTAACTGATGTTATTTTCTATCCCCATTTCCTAGAAAAAGGAAAGAGTAGGATTTTCCTTTTAATAAAAAATGGTAACAGTAGCAGTTTAGGGAACCCCAGTTACTGACTGAATTTGGAAGCGAGTTTTCTGTTTTGTAAGTACTGTATTTGGTCTCTGTATCAAGTTATAAAGTGAATTATTCAAGTAGAGAACTTAGAGCTTTAAATCAGTGCTTCTTCTATATAAAGTTAACAACTTGTGATGTACAGATATATTTACTGCTCCACTATTGTTACTTGTTACAATAGTTAAAGAAAATATCTGCAAGTACCTTTTAGGAAATACTAGTTCCACACCACAAATATGTTTATGGTACCCAAGTGTTCTTACAATTCCTGTTTGTTTTCCTTCTTTGGATTAATACAGAGGCTCTGTAGACCACTGGTAATGTGATATTACTGTGTAGAAGGATTATAAAAACAGGCATCTTTTGTTAGTACACTGATTTTTCATTATATCTGATCATACTTGAAAGTATAGTAATCTCAGAATTAAATGCATGTGCAAGGCCAGTAGGCTGCTATTCTGTGCTACTTTTCAGGAGACAGAGGTGTCCTCTCTGATTTCCTGTTCACCTGTCCAAAGATACTTGTCCTGCATACTCTTGCAATTCTGCTTAGTTTTGCTACAGTCAGTAATTCTCAGTCAGTAATTCTTTCTGCTTCTGTGGAGCTACATTTAGTGGAGTTATGCATATATGAAAACATCTGGAGGATGAGGCTCTATATGGGGAGCGTATT